ATCCCCCCCTCCATTTTCCATTCAGAAATAACCCCTTGTAAGTTATACAGCCAGTCTTTGGAGGACATTACTGACCTTGTCCAAAAATTTACCTCACCTAGACCATCTTCTCTAGGTAGAATTGTTACCCCATCCATCTAGAAAACCTTACAACTAGAATCTAATCTAGGTGAATTCTAGCCCTACTCAGTTCTACTAGCTCTACTCAGCTGGGTGATTGCCCAAGGCTGGGGCTGTTCTGGGTAGAGAGGAGTGAGGTGACATAATCAAAATCAGTCCCCCAATCCCTCATAGAATAGGTCTACCTTTCATTATAATATTCATTCTCTCTTTGTTAACCAATTAGTTGATTGCTGCTTGTGGGGAATGCTGACTCTTCCAAGGGCATATAAGCATTGAAAGGCCTCCATGATTTGTCTTCGATTTACAAGAGAAAGCCAAATGACCATCCTGTTATTATTTGCTAGCTATAATTAACAAAATTATTAATTACCCAGAAATTGTGTCTCTTGAACTTTTCATTCTTCACAGACTTCATTAAAATCTAAGCTTCTTGAGGGCATGGATCGTTTTTTGGTTTTGGCTTTGTATCCCTAGCACCTGGCATAGTGCCCTGCATATAGCAAGTGCTTAATAAATTTGTGAGGAAAACAAAAGCTTTCTCTAAGGTGTTTATATATTTCCATCCTCATAAAGGTTTTGTAAATCAGACAAACAAGGGAATTGTGTTGCTCCATAGCAAATTTGCCAAAGGATCAAATTTAGCTTTTCATTTACAAACTGCCAGCATTAGACTAAGCACAGTCACCTTGAAGGAGAATTGAGGATTTTGCTAGACCATCTGGATGGTTAAAAATGCCTGTGCCAGGCACTGTGCTAGGCTCGATTGAAGTGGATGTGTATAAATAAAATAAATAAAAGGTAGTTTGGGGTGGGAAAGTACAAATAGCTATTAGGGAATAGGAACATTCTTACATAGAAAGTGACACTTGAGCTGAGTTTTGAAGGAAACTAGGAGTTCTCCGAGGCAGGGGTGATGACCGAGTACATGGAGGAAGAGCCAGTTCAAAGGCTGGGAGATGGAAGAGGGAGTATCATGTGAAAAGCAGCAAGGCCAGTTTGGCAGGATTGTGCTGTGTGATATCATAAGGCTGGAAAGGTGGTCTGCAGCCGGGAGTTTGTATTCATTTGGCATATTGATTATTTAAAAATCCTCTAGAAAAAGCCAGCCTAAAAGATACAGAGGAACAACATAATCTCGAACTTCTTAGTGGGATGGGCTTTAGTCCGTTCGTGAGGATCACAGTGATTTAGGAGATTAAGCTGTTTGAAGTGGCTGCAACCTGAATTATATTGAGCTGGATAAAGGAAAGCTTGGGATTCTGAGGGAGCTATTAATGGTGACATATGAAACAGATGGAAAAAAAGATTTCTCTAAGTGGATTCTCCTCCAATTTATAGAACAAGAAACCCAATAGCAGCTTTCTACTTGTGGTACTGTACAAATTAACTAGCCTTCTGAAATTTAGAAAAGATAAAGACACACTAGTATTAGTTCCAAAGTAAGGCACGCACTATTTATTTTCTAGGGCAGGTTCCCCACCCCTGTCTAGGGCTTAAAATATATCACCAAAGCAAGAACTTTGCCTTTTGTTACCCATTACTAAGGATGTAACTTAAGAAACACTTGTCTATTAAAAATTTATGGCAACTACTTTATGGAATAAACTTAAAAAGTACAAGGTACTAAATCCATGAAGAAAAGAGATGAAAAGTAACACTTTTGAATAAAAACTATTAGTGGCTGAGTTGATTTACCTAAAAATCTCCAAATAATTTTTAGAAAACCCTTGGATGGGATTTTTGTGGCTATTGTTAAAAAAAAAAAAAGATACCATTTTTGCCTTACAGTGAAGGCACACCATCTTTTAGCACTTCAAGTAAACAGAGCAATATAACATACACTGTTTTACAATGACAGCAGGATCGACTTTGATTCAGAATAATTTCTAGGATGGCAACTAGTCTTTTCCTCATTTTGTCTCAATAGATGACATGCTAGTAAAACAAGGAAGCATCTTTCTCATGAGACAATAGCAGAATCACAGAAAGGTTCAGACACAGACATTTACAAGAGTCTTTTAATGCCTGACAATTATATGAAACACGACAAAGACACCCACAGAAGAGCTGTTAAACATTCAGTGTTAAAGGGGCTTTCATAATCTCCTAACATGCTGAACATAGGATCTCTTCTAGGTTTTGATAAAACACTGAATTGAGTTTTCCCCCCACAAAAAAGGAATATCATGCATTTTCACATACATTGTAAGTTCTGATAAGTAAGACTTCTGGAATTCTGCAAGATCTGAGAACTGATGTTCAGTGTCAGATTTTGGTTAATTGCATGGTAGGTGATAGATGGATGCTGAAGATATTCAATAGCAGAATACAACACTAAATGTTTTCCTGGTAGTCTCCTGATAAATTTGATCTGATTCTTTCGTATTTTATGTCAAATGACTTGAATTCCTGACTATAGGAATATAACTCTTTAATGCATTTAAAGTGCAGCACATGTGGCATGGTGGTGGTGGCAGTAAACATTCTTTATGGGTTGGATCAAATTCTCAATAATGACTTCCATACCAGAATGCCATCTTTATTTCTATCTTATCTTTATACCTAAATCTTACTTATGGTTTTCATTTTAATTAAAAAGTCTAATATTCTATTTTATGGTGATCATGACATCATGAATCAAATGAGATCCTATACCTCAGCCAAAGCCCATTTAAGACACCTGATATTTGAGAGAGCCTGTCTAATTAATGTATTAACTGTATTTAGATTGTCCAGATTCCATCCCTGGATTAAGTTTGGACATCAAAAAACAAAGTACTTGGACTATATTATTTCAGCTCCTTGAAGAAATACCTCCAATGAGTTATTGTTTCATGTTCTTTGACTTTAGCAGAGGGTCGTAATGAGAACCATCTGGATGGAAAATGTTTCTATATCTTTTATAAAACCAGGAAGAGAATGCCCTTTACATAAGGGCCCATTCTTGATTTTAGTTTCATGAAAAACATCATCTCTACAAACAAATCTGTATGTTTTCTTTAATAAGGAAAAGAAAACTGTGTAATCCAACCTCTTCCTGCCAGGAAACTCATGGCCAAGTGTCATTTTTTCACCCTAAGGACTTGAAAAGATCAATGCCTTTGGCTTTCTTCAGAGGAGCTCTGATCAGCTGACCCAAAATGCTTTACTATACGTTATTTTAGCCTGTAAGCCTCTGAAGTCCTTTTCAAGGTGGAGGAAAGAAGCACAAATGTGAAACATATAAATATATGTGAATAAGGGTGGTGAAAGAAGTCTCCATTTTTTAATTAAAGTCTAAAAAATTTAATAATGCATATAGTAGCTCTTAAAAATAACAGATGAAATTCTCATATTTCAAAGATGCTAATTTTTTTCCAGCATCATTGAAGCAAATTATTAGTTGCTATTATTAGAACGAATATTTTGCATAAAGCACTGTCTTATTTGATTAGAATGTATGCTCTTTGAGAGCAGTAATAGTTTTTATTTGTATCTCCAGCTCCCAGTGCAGTGCCTTTTACATAGGAGGTTATTTTTTATTCTTTATTTTTTTAGGCAATTGGGGTTAAGTGACTTGCCCAGTTCACACAGCTAGTAAGTGTCAAGTTTGGTCTGAGGCTGAATTTGAACTCAGGTCCTCCTGACTTCAAGGCTGGTGCTCTATCCACTGTGCCACCTAGTTGCCCCACATAGGAGGTTTTTATTAAATGTTGGTTCATTGACTGATTGATTCAAAGATCCATGGACTAGAATGCAGATATCTAATCCTAGCTCTACTGTTATTCATTGAATACTATAAGGTAAGTTCTTCTAAGTTTTACCTTAAAAAAGTAATATTTACACTGACTATTAACTTAGGTATATAATACAGATTAGGAATAATGCAACTTTATTACTATGAGAAATGGGATATATAATGAACATCTTTTTGGCATCTTCAACATTTGTATAGCTCTTAATAGTTCACCTTAAAAATATAGTCCCTTGGGCAACTAGGGCGCAGTGGATAGAGCACCAGCCCTGCCACCAGGAGGACCTGAGTTCAAATCTGCTCTCAGACCAGACACTTGACACTTATTAGCTGGTTGACCTTGGGCAAGTCACTTAACCCCAATTGCCTCCCCTCCCCCCCCCCAAAAATGTAGTCCCTGGGAAAATGTCTATATAACATTCAGTAGACTGAACATGACTGGAATACACTTTGAAGTTTTCTGGGATTTTCACTTCTCCATTTAATCAAATTTTTTAAGAAAATCAACAATATAAAGTGAAAATTTTTCTTATTTTTAAAGGATATGACTATGGTAGTTATGATTTTATAAAATTATGGCAGGCAGTTATTTCCTATATTACCTCAACTCAAGCTCTAAAACCTAATCAATGCCAAAATAACATGGTTAGGGGGATGATGGATATTTTAATACAAAATATGTATAGTGATTTATAACAATAAATGTTACAAGAAGTTTTATCATAAACTAAGCAACAGCAAAAGGAACTAAAAACTAACATACAGATTCCCACATTCTTTACAATAAATTATAATGAATAATTCAGACACAGAATGTTATATATACAAGCTGCTAATGTGAATACTCAAATAAAATGACCACAAAAGTCTTTAATCTTGATTTAATAAAGTTTGTACAGTATCAAATTATATCAAAAGTCTAAAAAAACCACAATGAAAATTTTTTTTATCATGTTTACAAATTATTTTATATACCATAAAAAACAACAAAATGCCAAAACTGAAGTTAAAAAGAAAATTGAAGGTTGTAATTCTTCATTAGCTCTAGAAAAATGTGACTATCTCAGATGAGAAGCCCTGGGTTTATTATATACTGCAAGAGAAATCAAATGTAAGGAAGCAGAGATACCTTTTTAAAAAAAAATGAGGAGCACAGGCTTGGAGAATTAAAAACATTTATAAGACTATAAATATCACAACAATGAATTCAATAATTTCCCCTTCACCAAAATTAATGGGCCATCCATTGGTGGCCAAACATTGAATGTGACTCAATGTTGGGAATTTCAAAGACCTGTTTAATTTCAGGTGTCTATACATAATTTGCAAAGGCTCATCTATCTCAAGGTTCTAAAACCTTCTATTATAATAAAGTAACTAAGATAAAATACTCTTAAAAGGCAATAAACCATTTCACCTACTTCTCAGAAAACACAGGCTAAGGGAACCAGTAATTAAAAGACAGCAGTATAGAAATTAGTTCAGAAGAAACAAATGGATGCAACATAACTCTGGGTCATAACTGGCACTGAACCACAGTAACTCTAGTTTTAATTTGACAAAATTCAATAACAAATGCCCATATCAAAATATATGCAGTGAAATAATCACCTTTATGTAATTGAAATGTTAAACCATTGACTTGAAAATACTTAGTGGAAAGAAAAAGAGAATGAATGTGAAACTGTGATGGAAACCTAATTTTTAAACTCATTCAATGATCAAAACTTGTTGGTATATCTGTAGATTTTAAAAGTCAGTGTCATTGTTCCCATGCACACCTTCAGTTACATTAGTAAAACTTAACAGGTAGCTTATAAGCCTATGTTTACACAACTTCAGAACAACCATTTAAAAAGTGAATTCAGTTATTTAACTGATTATTTATTTATATGACACTAAGCAACAGATGACTGTTTCCCCCACCCTCACTGAATTTCCTAAGTTCACCAACTGATTTGACATTGGTTAAGGAGCACAAGGGAATAAAATCTCCAACATTATAATAATTAATGACAAATGAAGATGTTTCTAATTTGAGGGGGGAAAAGGTACTGACTGCCGAAAAGCTTAAAAACATACATATGTGCTGTGTGTGTGCTGTGTATGCTGCATATATACATACTAGCGTATCAACTTCATCTCTAGATGATCAGAAGTCAATGGACATTGACCCTTGTGCAGAATCCTCTCGTCCTCTCACATAAATTTCACAGGGAATCTCCTCCATCACTCTGTCTTCTATGGCCTGTTCAGAACACTCATGTGACTGTTTGAAAGTGTAACTACTTTTTTTGAAGGTGCTATTGAATGTCTTCATTGGCTGAGGTTGTGCGAAATCATTACGGAAAGGAAGTTCCATGGAACTGAGGTTGGTCCTGCTTTGTTTCACGTTGGAGGCTTGGGATCCACAATGATGATCATGAATGCAACGGGAAGCAGTGGAAGAACGCCGCATTTTCTGGTAGTTTTCTAGTTCTTCTGACAAGTCAGCCAGATCTGCAGAAATCTCTTTGTCCCTCAACGAAAACAGTTCATAATGAGGAGGATCAAACGCTTCTTGGAACCCCGTTTTGTTAAAAGCAGTTTTGCAAGCCATGACCTTCTTTCGAGGTTGCTTGACTTGAACTAAAATAGAAATAATGAGAAGGACCAAGACAATCCCTGATGTGATGCCAATGATTGTTCCATGTGTTTTGGTGATCTGTTCAAATAGACCTGCTTTTTTCTTCTCTGTAGAAAGAGAAAAGTTGACTATTAAAATCAATGACTATGTCTTTGTCACAAGCAAATTTGGTAATGCATTTTGAATAAAAAGTGTTGAATACTTTGGTAAAATACACTGCAGATGGCACAATTTAAATTTAGATTTATAAACAAAGTAAGATAGGAAGCTCATGAACAGTAATTACTACAAGCATTTGTCAAGATACCCAGAAATCAGTTAGTATAGGCAAAGGAGATGATGGTCTCTAAACTTAGAAGGAGCGCACAAATGCATACATTTTGCAAATTTAAATAAATATAATGATACAAATTGTGCCAAATTCAACGTTACTGCTTAATCTCTTCTAGTTTCTTGCTTTACATTACTAACAGCTTTGGCCAAAAATATCACTGACTCTAAAGTTTATGCACATATTTATACTGTTAAACATTAATGATAATACTCAAATGACTGATTTGTTCCTACATTTGTTGAACTATGAATGACATGTTAGGATATAAACCAGGATGAAATATTTTTCAATGACTAACTGATGGTACTTCATGTCAAGCACACAAGATGGCAGTATCAGATTACAGCACCTTATAATTATATGATATTTACTGTACTTCTAGAATAAAAACACTAAGCAAATAATTTTGACAGTAGGCTTGCACACATCTGACCAATATCTGGTAAGCCAGATTTGTATATATTTCAGACATTACTTATTGGAATTACACAGACTAATAATCTCGTAATGAATTTTAAAGAATTCTAAAACAAAAAATGAAATATAGTTGTTTTATTTTGCAAAATTTTCACAATTTTATTATATTTGTGAATTAAAAATTCTTATTCTCAGAAATTCAAATTTGATAGAAAAAGTTACTTCTAAAATAATTTTGAGAACAAAATTAGATTGCTTTTAAAGAAAACAAATAACTAATATCAAAAAACCAATTTGGTGACATACTTCTAAAGTACGTTAGTTAAAATTCTTTTAAAGGTAATTAATGCTTTAATTACAAGGCAAAAATATTAATTCTTTTTCTCTACTCCAGTGCAGCCCAGAGAAGGTCAATGATCCATTAAAGTAAAACATTTAGAGCATATTTCTCCTTTTTTGCCAAAAAAAAGCTATGCTAAGCACATTAAAGTTACACTCTTCTCTCAGAGGTTAGACTTTGCACTGTATTCACCTTTACAATGATTTTCATCCCAAGGGTATGCACAGTTTTGAACACCATTGCAGACCAGAGAATTATTGATGCACATATTACTATGGCAAAAGAAAGTGCTGCCTGTGCAGGGAGCTGTAGGGAAAAAGAAAGCTATCTGAGTTGCCGTGAAAATTCAGAGAACGTCCAGATTATTAACTTCTCCCTTCTAAAACCAGTTCCTGATTTCAAACACCAAGGGAAAAAACCACCATCATGCATGAAAATATCATGTTGGCAAAAGTAATTATAATTATTTCTGTGGATCTTAAATTATAAGCCACAGAAATGGCCTATGTTACTAGAAAACACTATAGAATTAGGAACGTGTTTATTATATGATTTCTAGGAATACAAACATTTACAATCCACAAATATTTTTCCATTTGCCTACTTTCACTGTTAACATGCTTTCGATCAGCCAAATAGTTAAGTAAGTAAAAACCAATATTCTTTTTTTCTGAACCACTGTAAATGTAAATTGTTGTTAGACATGGTGACAGTATGACTTTTCCCCCATCATTTTAATGGCATTAATACATAACATAATAAAGTTTTTCAATATTATTAAAGGATGCTGGCAGGAATCTATTCTCTAACTTACTAAAATACAGTCAGAGCAAATATAGTCACATATACACATTTTCCATAAAAACATTGAAGAATATTATTTGCTATAGTATAGATAAAAATACGGCACTGAAAATTGCAAATACAGACATTAAAATTAATGGTTATCAGAAATTTAATCAGAACTATTTCCAAAATTTGTAAGGGGCCTGTAGATTTTTTTGTTGTACAGTCTAGAACTGACCTAACAATGTTTAAGTTTTCAAGACTGTGGGAGACATCTAGTTCATATGAGGATATCTGTTTTTTTTTTTTTCTTTTTAACTCCAAACCACACCTGGATCATTAAGGTCTCACACATTTTAAAGTGAACAGTGATTCAATTTTGTGTTGCAAATGCACACAAAATTCCTTTTGGGAAGATAAGCCCAAGGTCAGACCTGAGAGTTATTGGTTTATTAAATTTGGAGTCCTGCTCAGCTTAAGAGACAAAAGAATCTGAAAATCAAGAAGTGGGAGAGCTTAAGCGTTTTCCAATTGAGATAGAGGCTAAAAATATCATAAAGGAATCTAGTAGAAGTAGCCAGTCATTTTGGCACCTTCCATGAAAATTATTAGGTGAGATGTATTTTCTCAAAAAGACCAAAAAGGCAGAATTGTTTCTAGAGAGAAAATACCAGCTTCACTAAATAAAAGCAATTGGACATGGTATTAGGTCAGAACCTGACGTAACCTGAAATGTTTTCTCTACTACATCATTTTAAAACAAAAAGAAACTTAAAATTTCCTAGTCACTGACATTTCTAAAAGAGGCCTTCAAAGGTCTTCATATTTTCCTTGATTTCATTTGCTTTGATAAACATAATAATTTCATACTAGAATCTCATTAAAAACCATTTGACAGAGAACATTATTTGGTATAAGGTAGGTCCACCATGGACCCCATTGAAGATGAAGTTTAGTAATTTATGAAAACGACCTTGTAACAAAGCAATCTCATGTATAATCTTTCTTAAGACACTAACCCTAAAGATATACCAAGATTCTAGTAAAAAAAAAATGTAAATATTTGCAGTTAACTCTCAGTCAAGTTTTGTTAAATTCTTTTCTGGGTCAACCTGAATTTACATATTGAACATTTATTGACATACAATCAAGTAGGAAGCCTTAGACTTACCTTGTCCTCATAGAAACTTTGCAAATCAATAGTTACATTCCTTTACAGTCTGGCTGTAGCGTACCTTTCCAGACTTATTTCAGCTTACTCCCAGTCAAACTGGCTAACTTGCTATTCTCCAAACTCACACCTCTATGCTTTTGCAAAGTTTGCAAAAACACACCCAGAATGTACTTTTCCCTCACATTCATTTTACTGACTTTACCATCCTTCAAAGTTCAACTTAGGTACCAACTCTTAGGGGAAATCTTTCCTGACCTTCCTTCCTCTTTAAGAATTCTCTCTTCAATTGATGGGCATCTCCTCTGTTTCCAATCCTTTGCCACCATGAAAAAAGCTGCTGTAAATATTTTACTGTACACTTGGGTTCTTTTTCTCTTTCTTTGATCTCTTTGGGGGAGGGATGGGAGGATAGAGAATATTTAGTACTGAAAATAAAAAAAAAACATACATTCCATAGAAAAAGAAAAAATTTTTTTTAAATTACCTAAGGCTGACTTATCTATGTAAATATTGTAGCTGTTCTCTCCCACTCCAAGTAAGTTCCTTGAGGGCTCCTATTTCTTTGAATTTCCAGTTTCTATTTATTTTGTCAAATAAATTTACATTTCTTTTTTTTTCTGTTTTGTTAGGCAATGGGGTTAAGTGACTTGTTCAGGGTCATGTGACTAGTAAGTGTCAAGTGTCTGAGGCTGGATTTGAATTCAGGTCCTCCTGACTCCAGGGCTGGTGCTCTATTCACTGTGCCACCTAGCTGTCTCATAAATTCCCAGTTTCTATCACAGTACAGTACCTAGTTGGTAGCAGAGCTTAAGTGTTCCTTGAATCAAATTGTTGTAAATTTCATCACTAAATATTTAAAGTACTTTGTTGGTCAGCTATAGGTTAACTCATTCTTAGCTAAGCATTGTACTAGAATTACAAAGACGCTTTGAATTCAAGAGCCTGACAAGGCAAGATCAGATACAGGCCTTGTGGCTGAAGAATGTTTCATGGCAAGGACGCTACTGGGGCACCAGTAGACAAGGGACCTTGAACCTTCCAATCCTACCAGTCATTTACCTTTGCCAACTTATCTCACTTTTTTGGGCCTCAGTATCTCCATCTGTAAAATGAAGGGTAGACTATATGTCCTCTAAGATCCCTTCCAGTTCTGAAATTCTACAATTCTGTGGTATTATCATTGTATCTATCTTGACATTTTTTTTCAACTTAATATTTTATTTAACTAGTGACTATTGTCCTTACTAGGGGTTGTGAGAGTAGCAAAATGATGCTTGTTTAACCTAATAACCTAATAAAGTGATAAAAAGTATTTGTTTTACCTGTTAAAAACCTTGATTCTTTAATAATATTCTTTAATAAGAATTGGAGTAGTTGCTCCTAACCTAGAGTCCATGAACTTGTTTTGTTTTTTAATATTTTGTTAACACAAAATTGTTAAGAACTCCTGCTTTAGATAAATACATGTAGTACCACTAAACACACAGTTTCAACACAAATGTAATCTATTACTTTTCTCATTGATGGACATTTAGCCATTTGGTTCATTAATCCTATTTAGGTGTGACATAAATATTGTAAAACCAAGTTACATAATGTATGTACTTGGTGGGGATAAAAATTGACCTAGACAAAAATACACAAACATTTTTAAGTAGGGTATTCCTAAAAACTGAAGTATTTCTTTTCCATGACTTAGGTTGAGAACATTTCATGGTTATACTTTAAAAAATTATGCTATGCAGTCTGGATAACAGGTCTGTTATTTAATTATACCCAATTTTATATTCACTATGTAAAATATTTATTTCCATGAAGAGACAAGAAGCTGTTTTCCAAGATGTGCTGATTGGGGATGTAACACAGCAGGATATCTTCTTGGTGCTTTGATATGTCAATTTAACTAACATAAAGTTAGTACCTACTATGGGGCAAGGCTCTGGTGATATAACCATCATTAGCATCCAGTTTCCATATGTAACAATCTCAAATAAACTTGATCTGGGTTGTTCTTTCTTTTTGTCCTTTAAGAGCGGTTCTCTGCTTAATTTTTTTCCCACTGTATTTCACATATTGGGAGGAATAGCATTCTAATTGCATAATTTTCTTTAACCACTCTGAGAATTATAAGAATAATTAAAAAACATCATATATTCTTTGACAAATTTTGTTGGAATCTGGGAATTTTAGAATCACAATGATGCCTTCTAAACTTTACAGTTGGTGGCATTAATTTTTGTAAGATCAACAACATTAATTATTGAGGTTGATGTTTCACCTCAAACCAAATATATTATGGTTAAGTTATAAATCCATATTTTAATATAAATAAATACTACCAGCAAACACCAATGACAGTGATATATTATTCTTTCCTTATAGTTCAAGACTTCCTATTTTTCCTTTCCACTGATTTCTGGGTCACAAGATCAGGGAGCAAAGTAAAACTGGGGTTTCTGTTTTAGTTCCCCTGTAACAAAATGTGGCAACAAGGCTGAGAGATAGTTGTGCCCTTCAACTGGACTTTCAGGGGGGCCCTCAGGCAATATGCTACTAAAAATCATATTTATGGATTTTATTTTAATGAAAATGTCTTCTGCTGCTTTCACAGTTCAAGTCCTAGAAATTATTTTCCTAATATACTGTATCCTTTCTTAGAGTTGGGAAGAAGCCAAACATCGATTGCTATTCTGCATTGTCCCCTTAGCTGTTATGCTATTTCTGTCACATCTGCAATCTGCAATGGGTAGGCGTGAAGTGAATCTGTCATGCAGAATTAGTCCATTTATATAAACCTCTTCAGAAATATTGATTGTTTTCATGGGTGGATTCGTAACAATTACAAATCATTAATAGTTTAGGGAAGTCTAAAAATAGCTCAGTGACTTGAAAATAATGATAAGCATGTAAATTCACTGTTTGGAGCTTTGAAAGGTGCTTATTACATGGATATTTTCAAACTGGAAGTCTTGTTTCATAAAAATCCATGAAATTTCCTATTGATCTACACTGCATGCTCTCTTTCCCTCTTCCCTGCTACTACGCACCCTATCTGATTCATTTTCTGGTCCTTTGATTATTCTGTTAAAAGTCTAAGAGCTTCAAGCTAGAAGGCAAACAAATGCTCAATCAGTAGCAGTCTGACAACTTGAGTTTAAATTTGATGATTAGCATATCCACCTGAATCTTCCATATATAATACACACACACACACACACACACACAAATACACAAATATATCCACTAACACTTTAAGCTCAAAGTTTCCACATCCAAATTATCATCTTCCCCTCCCTCTCAAACATGCTTCTACCCCTTGATCTTCCTGACCATTCTACAGGTACAC